TTCGATTTGAAAAAATCAAATCAAATTCAAATTGCTTAAATATTTGATTCGATTCGATTTTGAGGAACCCTAGTTAGAATCATTTTAGCAAACCTGAAAATACACCTTAAGTGATAACTCTAAAATCAGAAAGTAAAAAGGATAGAAAATAATTAATTAAAGAAATAAATATAAGCAAGTAATAGCGTGACAGTAAGAGCTAATTATATACTAAATATCAGATGCGTATCTTTATTATATCGAAGAAATAAGTATAAAGATAGCTGATTTCAATCCAATTGTTCCTACCGCTCATATACCTTTACCTGAAACTTTGCTAAAATGTAATAATAGAATTATTATTATTTAAAATAATGATAATTAGTATTTCAGATGGTATGTTCTAGAAGTTTTACATCTGATTAAAGTTTATCAGAGAGAAATCCATATTAGCTATATGAAGGATTTGTGAAGAAACTTAATATGGATGGTATTTCAGTATCAATACCAATCTCAACACCAGTTTATAAAAAGTTTGAAGAAAATAATCCAATAATTAGCTTATGTGTGTGTCTATAAGTGACACAATCAGGATGAATGTCTTGAGTTTCAATATGTTTCAAAAAGAAGAGAAGATGAATATAAAAAAGTAAATCTTCTAGTAATCACGAAAGAAGATAGAAGTCATTACTACATCATTAAAGATTTATATAAGCTGGTATACAATTATAGCAAACATAAAGGGTAAAAATAAATTTGTCGTTATTGTAACGAACATTTGCTAAATTGTAAGGGTCTAAATAATGCCTTCCAGCGATTACAAATGCTGGTAAAGAATAGGAGTGTAAAGCTTTTTATAATCACAAAAATATACAACCAAATCCATATTGAATAATCTGAGATCTTGAAATGCTAACTGAAAAGCTAGCTTCAGAAGAGAAAACAAAATTAACTTCTACTGAAAGGATGTAGAAGCATAAATCATATGGTACTACTATACAGCAATTCATATGGATAATTCACTTAACTATGAAATCATAAGTTATTATTTATATAAAGGCCTAGATGCCTAGGAAAGATTTGTTATAAAGATTAAGAAGGAGCTTTTAACTATTCAGAAAGATTTATTTGCACTGGCTGAAATGATAATAGCACTAGAAGACTTGAAGGCATATAATGAAGTGACAGAATGCTAGATTTGCAAGGAACTTTTCTTAAAACTAGCATCAGAGGTAGTACAAAACTCAAAAAAACAAAGCATAATTTATTAGAAATCAAAAAATGGGAATCATGTATAGAAAAGGAACATTCTGAAAAAAAACAAGCACAAAAAAAATACTGAGAAACTTTAAGTGTACTTAATCGAAAAGTAAAAGATCATGATCATATAAATAGAAACTATTAAGGCCCAGCTTATGATTTTTATAATAAAAAGTTATGTATAGGTTCTTTCGAAACTCAAGTACCACTTATCTATCATAATTTCATTCGCTTATGAAAGTTATAAGCAAGTTCACAGCTGATAAGCTAAATTGCATTCCAGAGAATATAGAAAAGTACAAAGCTATAGACGTAAGATAGCTTTAGTTCTTAGATAGCTTTCAGCTTATGGGAATGGAATTAGATAAATTAGTTGAATGCTTAGGTGAAAAAATCGAAAAATTCTCTCTAACTATTAACTAATTTACTGAAAAAGACTATTCAATAGACAAGATTAAGCTTTTTTTTTTTTGAAAAAACGTCTTTTCATATAACTGGACAAATGCATGAAAAAAATTTGATAGAACAAGCCTTCTATCTAGAAAGGACTTCTATTCACTTTTTAGTCAGCAAAATATTAGTAAAGAGGATTATGAATATGCTCAAAAGGTATGGCAGTATTCAAGATAAAGAACTTAAAAAATATCATGATCTTTATCTTGAGACTGATGTACTTTTACTTATAGATATTTTCATGAACTACATTATTATGTGTTTGAAAAATGATGGCTTAGATCCTTCTCATTATGTTTCAGCATCTAGAATGTTTAATGATTCTCTTTACAAAAGTAATGGGTAGAACTCAAGCTTATGATAAATATGATGAATATCTAACAGTAAAAAATAGCATTCGTGAAAGCATAACAATGGTAAATCATTGATATACTAAAGCTAATAATTTGCAATATTCTGATTACAATTCAGACGAACCAATATCTTGGATTTTGTATAAAGATTTTAATGCCTTTTATTCAGATGCAATGACTCAATACATGCCTACAGAAATCCTAGGTAAGGTATGTTCAAAGAAAATACCAGATATCTAAAATATTACTTCAGATGCAGAAATAGGCTATTTGCTTGAAATTGATTTAGAAATCCCAATGTACTTACATGATTTCTTTGCAGATTATCCCTTAGCATTAGAAAAATAAATAGTACCAGAAAAACTGGTTTAACCTATATAATGAAAGATTAGTGAAAGATAAAGAAGTTGGAAATGAAAATATGTGTCTGAAAAGAAACTAGTCCAGACTATATATAAGTTAAAATGGATCATTTCAAATATCTGAAATAGTTGAAATAGTCAAAATCATTTCAACTATTGGGAAGTTAAAGTCAAAATAGTTGAAATGATATCATATCAGATGATTTTTTATATATAGAAAAAATTAAAAAAAATAAAAGATGTATGATCTCAGTTAATATCACACTGATTTGTATGAAACAACTACCATTCAATTCCTTGCGACTAGACGAATCCAATAAGCTAACATACATTAATTTCAGACTATCTAATCATGAGATAAACACAATTATATTATCAGCCAAAATTATAAATCAATAAATTCTACTTTAAATAAAGGATCTGGATTTTGAAATTTAATCGCAAATATCTTAAGATGGGCTGATCCAAAATCAATAAATGTTAGCTCATTAGATTTGTCTAGTCATGAGAAATCGAATGATAGTTATTTCATACGAATCAAAGCGATATTGTATATCTTTTTTTTGTTTTTCAATATATAAAAATCATGTGATAAGATGTCATTTCAACCATTTCAACTTTTTATTTTGAGTGACACATTGCAAATTTATATCAGCAATATTACACACGTCAATTGCCATTACTAAAAAACTAGATATTGTAGAAGGATATTTCAGGAGAAGAATCAATCAGCTGAGTTGACTAAGCAATCAAAGCTCTAGAAGACCTCTTATATATCATCGAAGAAAAGTCTTATAATATTAAGATCGAATATATGTAGGTGTGTCTACTACACAAATCTGTGTTTTTTAGAAGATTTAATAATATTAATACATTTTATTTTTCTTAGAATCTGGCTCAGCTTGAAAGTGAGTTCTAGACAAATAAGAAGAAGTAGACTGCGGATCAAGCTTTTGGGAATGACTATTTTGATTATATATATAGTATTGTGACTACAGGCATAGAGTGACATTTTATCATATATACTCCTGACGGCAGCGATATGTACTTAGAAGATTGGAAGCACCTTTGGAAGGTTTGGAAGCACAATTTATTAATAAAATTATTTGGATTGGAAGCTTCTAATCCTATTGGAAGCATAAAATGCATATCACTGCCTGATGGTATATACTCTACAAGTAGAAGCGAATACCAAATTAATCTCACAAAATCCGCTGTTAAAGAAAATCCTAAATTACTTCAAAGTAATGTAAAAAGGATAATTAGTATTATTATTGGGTTATTAAAGGATCGGGTTAGTATAAATAGTTTCCAACTAGCAAGAGAGCTAGGATCAAAAAGTATATTAAAAAATAATATGTAGAATGGGTTATGTCCAAAACCTTTGTATTTATTTTCGCATATATTAATAAAAATTTTTCTTGGCAAAGTAATCAGCATGAATAATTGTTCATGAACATGTGATTTTTTTATTTAGAGTCATTGTCATCTATGCTGACAAATCTTAGATTATGAAATATCGTGACAAAATATCAAGATTAAGCTATTGTCTGAAAAAAAATGAAGCTTTACATAGTTGCTGTTCAGATTGACTTCACTATTTCATGTAAACATGAGTATGATATGGATAAAGTATAAGAAATTGTAATAGATATGGAAAAGTGGTATTTCATGTAGATGAAAATGTAGTCTCGCAGAAGAATAGATAGGTTAATGGGTAACGTAGTAACTTTAGGGCAGAGACCCAAATTTTTGTATTTATTTCTTGTATGTATTAATAAAAAATTTTTACGTATAACAATGCGATAAAGAAATGTTTATTAGTTCCAAATTTTTGGATCTGAATGCTCATGTGATTTTTGATTGTAGAAGATTTATAGATTTATTATAACACAATAATTGTAAAAATTGTAAATTTATTTCATTGTTATTTATTGTTATTTATTAATTATTATAAGAATTGTATTATTTTAACAATAAAATTTTAATGTTCACAAATAAAAAATCAGTTATTAGAACTTGCTTTTTGGCTTGTAATTTAAGTTTATGAACTAAAGATGATTCTCATAATTATTTTTAAAATTTTTAACTAGTTGCAACTATTTATGAATTTTTATATTAAAATAAATTTACAAGGAGTTGCAACCAAGTTGCAACTTCTTAAATATGATGTCCATCTTTATTTTGTTTTAAGGTACTTTCTAAAAATATGTTCATTATCACTTTTAAATACATCTATTTCTTGCTGTTCAAAAAAGTTATACAAGTTTGTAAAGACTTTGTTACATCATCTAAAGAAACCAATATTAGCTTATCTTCAGAATTAGTCAAATTATCATTCTCACTAAAGATGTTGTAGCAATTAATTTCAAATTTACAACTTATTGCAATATAAGCTAAAATTAGTTGCAACATATGTTGCAACAGTATAAGTTACAATATGTATAGGTTAAAACTAATTGCAACATATGTTGTAACATTAAAAGTTGCAATGCATTAATTACAGTTCTCATCTTTAATTCTCATTATTTATTTCCTTCTGAACTAATCTGATAATATCATTTTTATCTAAAATGTCTTCAGTTGATATATCTTCCTCCAGATCACAAAAAAAAATATTTAATGCATTTGTTAATAAAGCAATTAAAAAATTATTCAATTCTATACTTAAATTATCAATCATTTGATTAGTATCTGCTGTTTCATGTTTAAAATGTTTTGTTAAATTTGTGTTGTACTAGCTATATCATCTTCAGTTGAAAAAGACAATATTCCAGTTTTAACCTAGCAATTAAAAATTATTTCATCAGTTACATTTCCTATACATCTGCTAAATAATCAATAGCTTCCTTGATATTAATTTTTTCTTTATTTATATTTTTATCTTCTTCAAAAAGTTTTAAAATATGTCAACAATAATTTTATTTATAATAAGCTATAAACTTTTAACGATTTTAGCATCAAGTAGTTGGAAATAGCTTGTAATATTAGATGGTAAAAAAACCACTTGGTATGAGTTAAATTAAGTCAAAAAGTATCTTTACTATTATTATTATGATTACAACAATTTCAAAATAATCGTTGAATGTAAAATTGAACTTCAGTTAAAAATTTGCGATAAAAATTTAAAGTAAAATAAAATTTACAATTTCATTTAAAATTAGTTAAACATATTATGTGTTGACAGGATCCTGAAAAATACATATAGAGGTTAGAGAAGATCAGCAAAATTTTGGCCTAAAATAAGCAAATGTTTTTACTAAAACTAATACGTAAATTTTACTTGTAACTTTAAAAATATCATTAAAATAAGCTGACATATTCAATTAAATATATAATTGCTAATTATTTCCATTGTTAAATCTCTATTATTATCATTATTTATTGTTTAATTTTCATTATAAATTTATTATTACATTATTTGGTATTTAATAAAGGACTAATTACATTACTACAGTCAACCCTTGATATAACGAATTTTATGTCCTGAACTTCAACTTCGCTATAGAGCTATAGTGAATTTT